AACACAGACCTCACGTGATCGCCTCCCCTGCCCCGAGCCGCGCCCCTCCCCCGCGGACGCAGCGCGGTCCCCACTTCCCCTGTGGTATTTACACACGCGTGTCCGGTTTGCTTCTCGAGGTCCATCCATTTAGCTATAAATGTCTGAAGCTCGCCCTCCTTCAAGGCACAGTGGTGCTCCGTTGTATGAAAGAACCACGTCTTCTTGATGCACGCGTCACCTGATGGGCCTTTGCGCTGTTTCCAAGACGTAGCTGTTACACACTGTGCCGCTATAAACATGGGTGCGCGTATATCACTGTGGTGTGACGCTTTTACTTCTTTGGGAAGATACCACGAAGAGGCACAGCTGGTCAGATTAAACCTCTAGTTTTATTTTTCTGAGGAATCTCCACCCTGATTTCCTCAGAGGTTGCCCCGGTCTGCGCTCCCACCGGCAGTGGAGCAGGGCTCCTTTTTCCCCACAGCCCCTCCAGAATCTGTTACTGGTTGACTCTTGATAGCAGCCGTTCTTTCTGGGGTGAGGTGGAATCTCAGTGTTGTTGTCATTTGCGTTTCATGAATGACCAGTGATGCTGAACATTTTTTCATTTATTTATTTGCTGTTTCTAATTCTTCATCTGAGAAGTATTTTTAATTTCAGATGCCCATTTTTGGACTGGTTCTTTAAATTTGGGGGAGTCTGATTTATTTGAGTATTTTTATATATTCTAAATAACAGTCCTTTATGTGAATAGCTGATAAAAATTTTCCCATGCTGGGTTGCCTCTTCATTCTTTTGTTTTGTTTTATTTTTTGAGACAGGGTCTCACTATGTAGTTGAGACTGCCCAGGAACTCACTATGTAGCCCAGGCTGGTCTCCAGCTCACAGTGATCCCCCTGCCTCAGCCTCCCGAGTCCTGGGATTATAGGCATGCACCACCACGACCAGCTTGCTTTGATATTTAAATCTTCGATCCATTTTGATTTTAGGTTAGCGCATGGTGAAAGATACAGGTCTAGTTTCAATCTTTGGCATGTGAAAAGCCAGTTTTTCCAGCACCATTTATTAAAGAGGCTATCTTTCTTCCAGTGAGGGTGGTTGACCCTTTGTCAGTTGGCTTGTCATAGATGGCTTTTATCAGATTGAGACAAAGACCATCTATACCAATTTCCTGTAGGGTTTTTATCATGAATGGGTGTTGGACCTTCTCAAACACTTTTTCTGCATCTATTGAGAAGATCATATAGTTTTTTCTTGGCTCTGTTAATAGAGTGTATTACACTTACTGATCTGTATGTTGAATCATCTTGCATCCCTGGAATAGTCATGGTGTATAAACTTCTTCATGATTTGCTGCATTCTGTTTGCCAGTATCTTGTTTTGTTTATTCGTGTTGTTTGTTTGGGTACAAGGGATCGAACTCAGGTCCTTGCTCTTGCAAGGCAGGTGGTGGAAACACTGAGCTAAATCCCTTGCCCTGTTTTTTGTTTTTTGAGATAGGGTCTCACTATGTAGTTGAGACTGCCCAGGAACTCATTATGTAGCCTAGGCTGGTATCCAGTTCACAGCGATCCTCCTGCCTCAGCCTCCCGAGTTCTGGGATTACAGGAGTGAGCCACCATGCCAGGCTGCCAGTCTCTTATTGAGGATTTTTGCATCTGTGTTCACTGGGGAGATTGGCCTGTATTATCCTTTTTTGGTTGGATCCTTCTCTGGCTTTAGAATCAGGGTAAAGTAGGGGGCTGGGGATTTGGCTCAGTGCTTCAGTGGACTGCCTTGCATGTGCAAGGACCCGAGTTCAATCCCCAGTACCAAAACAACAACAACAAAAAAATCAGGGCAAAGCTTGCTTCCGGGGATGAATCTGGGAGCCTTGCTTCCCTGTCAATTTCTTTAAGGAGTCTGAGGAGTAGCGGCAGTAGGTCTTCTCTAAACCCCTTGTGGAACTCGGCAGTGACTCCATCAGGGCCACCACTTCTGTTTGTTGGTGGATTTTACATTACATATTCAAGGAAATTCAAGTTCTTGTTGGAAACACCTGGTCTTTTTAGATGTTCAAGGTTCGCACACGTAAAAGCCCAGGGCCGCAGCAGTGCCCTAGGAGCACCATTCCTTCGCAGGAGGGGCTGCATCACTGCAGTCTGCATGTGGAGCTTTTCACACTTGATGCTGACAGCACAGGGTGGCTGCATGTGCAAAGAGGGAAGCATGTTTTCCCTGCTACACGAACTCAGAATTTTGATTTTTTTTAATTTATTTTTATTTATTTTTGTTACGCTGCCTCTTTCCACTGGAGTGGTGGGGCTGTGGCTCTGGTAGAAGCATGTGGTTTCCTTTACCTTCTCATGATCACACCCAGAAAAGAAGGAACTTTAGTCCCAACAGCCTCCTTTGTTTTCCACCTGAAAACAAAGCCTCTGTATCATTATTTTTAAGAGGAACTTACAGTCTCAAGAGCCTAATATTTTTGTTTGTTTGTTTCTTTGACACGCGCTCTCACTATGTAGTTGAGACTGACCTGGAACTCACTTTGTAGCCCAGGCTGGTCTTGAACTCACAGCGATCCTCCTGCCTCAGCCTCCCATTTCCATTTTTTTCTTGTCCCTTCCTTCCCAGACTTTTTTTTTTTTTTTTTTAAACAGGGCTTCACTGTGTATTCTGGATTGGCTTTGAACTCAGTGTGTAGCCCAGGCTGGCCTCACACTCACAGCGATCCTCCTGCTTCAGCCTCCCAATACAGGAATCACAGGCATGCGCCACCATTCCTGACAAGTGAGCTCAGATTGTCAGGCCCAGCAGAGGCGAATCTGTGGTGCACCAGTTGTTTTTCTTTTATGACAAAAGGTGTTAACCTAAGCTCAGAGTCCAGGTTAACTGCAGTGCTGCCACTTTGTGATGGATAAGCAGGTTGTGGGTTGCAGTTTGGGCGCTCGTCTCTACAAGGCCTGCTGTCATTGGTCCAGCCACCACTTTCTACTCGCATTTTAGTTAATATTGCTGGATAGTAAAGGATAAGTCCTAGTGCCCGGATGATGTCAGAAGTATAAGTAATCTAGAAATATAATTCCAGTCAAATTAACAGAAGAATTATTTTTTAATGTTATAACTTTTCCAATCATTGGAAAAACCAAGCTAACATGAAAAATTACCCAGCGAAATGTACAAAAGGATCTAAATGATGAAAAAAGCGAAATAAAATGTTGAAAGAACAAAAAAAGAATATTTCTTCTATCATCTTTGGTGGGGAGGTTTTTAAGTACGAAGATCATAAACTTGAAAAGAGCAGCAGATCCCTCTTAGCAGTGTATGACATTTCTGTATAAAAAATGCCATAAAGGTAAAATGGAATAATAAGCAAAATCCAACAATATGTTGTATACAAGAAACACACCTAGTGCAAAAAGAAGTCCAGAGACTGAAAGTGAAAAGATAGAAAACAATTCTCCATGTGACAGGAGCCCAGAAAAAAACAGGGGCAGCAATCTTATTGGCAGACAAAGCAAATTTCAAACCAAAACTGATTCTAGCATTATTGATGTTGAACGGTACTGTATCATACCTCTATGAATGTAAAACATCTTATACCTGCTTTATGATACATAGTAGGGACCGTGCTTTATCAGAGCTACATTTAATGATATTACTCTAGAATGTTCTCTTTCCAGGTGATGAGTAAGATGCTAATAAAAAAAATGGTGCCAGGTACCACAACAGCAACAGAACTTAGCTGTTTTCTGGATATTATTCTTTTCTTTGTTTCTTTTTGTTTTGTTTTGTTTTAATGGAATGTGCTGAATGTCTATAATTTTGTTCAGATGACTGCAGAACCTGGAAAAGCTGTTGCTGCCATTGATGCATTACATACTGCTATTATTAGTCTTTTTATATAAATATAAATATATATATATATACACACACACGTATATATATATATAAATTGAATTTTGGGAAACTTTAACGGTGCTGCCAATTTAGCAAAAAGTCATCCCAATTTACTGTGTTGAGTTGGCATTGTACAGAAATGGACAGCCATATTGGTCTAGAAATGTTAATTTTTTTCATTTTTATTTTTTT